TATGAGACAAGTAAATCAACTTACCGACTAAACTCTGATATCTTTCTTATCAGCCAGCTTCTGATCTAGATATTCCTCAAGTCTATGGTTCTGGATAATCAGCATGTTGACAAGTTTACAATCCAATGACCCAACTTCTGTGAAGAAGTCAAATACATACTTCCGTTGAAATAGGAAGATGCCTTGTATCGATTATGCCACTTTGATTCCCAATGACCCATGCAAGAAAGCATTCTTCACATCAAGCTGATGCAAAGGCTGATCTAAATTGGCTGCAAGAGACAGCAAAACTCTGACTGTATCAGTTTTGTGACTGGTGAGAAGGTCTCTTGATAATCGATACCATAGGTCTATGTGTACCCTTTAACTACAAATCGAGTTTTGTATCGGTTGATCAATCCGTCAATCTTGTACTTAATGAGAAAACCCTTTTGCACCCCATAGTCTTCTTTCCCTCTAGTAGTGAGACTAAGGTTGACAGGTTGTCGAAACCTGTGCAATAATAAAAATAAACCTGATTGCCAGTTAAAATAACCAAAACCCGATTCCAAGTACTGGAGCAGGGACTCTAGGTGTGCAATGGGTTACTTGATTCACTCTGTTCCCGAAGAGTTTACTTGATCCGATATACCCGGATGGGATGGCTTTGTCACAAACAAATATTAATTTGTAGACAGGGCAAGTAGGGTCGTATTCTCAGGGATTGGGGATATTTGTTCCTTTAGAAATCCAAAATAACACAAGGGGTGTTTTGAATAAGGGATGACAATTAAAACAATTCAACTAAAAATATAAAAATAAATAACTAGCTAGAAATTAAACGACAATTCACTAAACTGAGAGTAACAATAATTAAAAGTCCAAAACAATTAAAACAAGAAAACAATTAACAATGAAATAAAATATCCAACTGAAAATCAAATGGCAATTCACTAAAATCAAGGTAATAATAATTAAAGGTCTAGCAAGAAATAACTTCAGCAATAGTTCACCTAATTGATCATCGATACACCTGCAATTCCAATTATTTATTAATAAATAGGTTATAACTGCCAAACAAGCGATGACAGTCAACCCCTCCTTACTGTGTCGGTGATTAAGGTATGCCCGTTAACCACTGTTCTAATTGAGAAATAATCCTAAGTACGCCCGTAAGATTTAATTCCCCAACTGTCTTACGTATTAGAGGAGTCCTATTCTAACCAAATAACGCACTACCAGGATTATTTCAAATTAGCCCGCGTATCCCCCTGACACGAATCTAATCATGCCAGTTGTCACTTATTCAAGGCAATTAAACAATTACGGATTTAATGCCCTAATTGACGATAGATTATCAAGTTAACCAATTATCCGAATCCAAGACAATCAATTAATTAAATAATCATGAACACTGCAATCAAGGGATATGCGAATATCAATAAATAAAAGAAAAAGATAAAATTAAATCGATCTCACAAGTTTTAGGCAAACCAAAGCCTCTGTTGCTCCTTCACTAGAGTGGAGAAATTAGTTCATATTTGATGCAAAAAAAACCATACAAGATTGAATAGAGAGCCGCGGCCATCAGTTGGGCAATGGGCAAATTCAATTCGATAGAAGGAATAAAGAAACGCAAAGTTGCAGAGGATGATTTAATGCCTTCACTTTGTCTACTCATATGCAGGAAGAAAAAGGAACTGCTAAAAAGCTAAAAGGAAGGAAAGTCACATCCGTAGAAGAATTCCACTACTCCAAAAGCTAAGAAGGAAAAGTCAAAGTAAAGCTAAGCTCAAGCTATTGCTCTGCCTCAGCAATTTTTATTTCGTATCTAGTAGTCTTTGCTACTGTTCGGCGGTCTCCATTCTGTCCAAGGCTCTGCGTCCGCTGCCCTCTTCCATAAAATTACCAAAATGGGCACAATTTTTTCTTTTGCCAACAATGCCCCTCGGATAAGCTCTATGCTTGGACTCCTTTTCTGTTAAATTGACACTTGTTATCATATTTTCGTTCTACTCCCTGAAATAGATGCAAAATACTAAAAGTGAGTAGAATTTAATAATTAATCCATATCGAGTCAGGTAATAGGGGAAATTAATAATAAAATAAATGATAAAATCGCACCCTATCAATTCCCCCCACACCTAAACCATGCTTGCCCTCAAGCATAAGAACAGTAAATAGACACCAAAATTTGATAATGGCTATTGCCCTATTTACCATATTGCCAAGATACCAAGGAAAACCATATATCAAGCATTTGTGATCAAAATCCAAGAAACATCACCCCGGTTAGTTTCTAAACCACAGACTCCTTCAATTCTATGTCAACTTAATCTAAGAAGAAGGAATGGCGCACAACATTTATCGGCAAACGGTCCAAATATTAACCAAAATCTCCATATTAAGTCCATAAATCGGCAAGCTGACTTCTAACACAACCTGCACTCTTTTTCACGTTTTCTATTATTTATTTTTTCCTTTTTTTTTTCTTTCCTTTTTTTTTACAATAGCACAAAAGACTTAGTGTTTAGTTATTGAAGTCTTTTGACGCGAACTCCGACATCTTTCAAATGAAGGAACCCGGTTACTCAGATCCTATCGCTATACGACCACGTACTCATAGAAATTACTACTTTTTGACGCGAGAATCGACACTTTTAGGTGCAGATCCCCGGTTACTCAGTAGTAACTAATAGCGGAGTACAGTCAACCATATTCACAGCCATATAGCACAAAAACGCAAAATAACACCGCTAAAAATAAAAAAGGAGCAGCTTAGCCTCATTATTACCAAACATGGAGAACTAGAGTCAATATTGGACCAATTCACATGAAAATGCCAACAATCATTCCCTATGCCTAGAAAAGTTAACAAAGAAATCAAAAGAATTAAGCAATCATCGATATTCACCAAAAAGATGTTTTTGGATTCAACCATATTAACTTGATACATTTTATTAATAAAACTTGGCAACAGTAAAGTTAGAGGCAACAAACCAACATCAAACTTTGGCAGTCATAGGAGAGCTAGACAAGTGAATGACAAAAATGTAACGAAAACTAGACAAATGCCAAACTAAAAATAAAGGAAAAACACCTAAAAACTAAAAACTACTAAAAACTAAAACCACAACTGATCCCCCCCACTTAAACAATACATTGCTCTCAATGTAGCAAATTAACATCAAAAGTAGGGGAGAGGGTAACAAAACTTCCCTGAAGTGGGGTCAAAGTGGTGGGTGGTACCCAAATTGAGGCATAAGACCCGCATGCTGCATGAATGCTGCCAAATTCTGCGCCATACTATGCACATTGTTAATTAGACGTAATCACTAAGCAATAAGCAGTGAAAGTGGCACAGTAGCCTTCCAAATCAACAAACAAAAGCAGAAATTACTCAACTCACGTTACTCCAATAGACTCAAGACAGAAGGCAGGAAAATAGACTCAAGTGATACCAAAAATGATCCCAACAAGGTAGCAAATAATGACAAAATGAACTCACCCCTAAAGCCCAAAAGTTGTCACCAATTGGAAAGTCCAATACATAACTCAACTGGGAGCAAATATAAGCACAAGGGTTTGGGTTTTCAAGCAAACAGCTGACCAAACACACAGGGAAGAAGCAATTCAAATAGGCAGCCCAAAACACTGATAAATCCAACAGCACAAGCAGTACCAGAAATAGAAGAAACCAAAACTGTAATCAATTGAGGAAAATAACTCCCAAGGCAGCCCCAAACATGCAATAGAAACTCCAAGCAAGGCACAGGTAAAAAAATCAAGCAATATACCACTTGCTAATATCCACCCAGAAACCCAAGAAAATGGCAACAACTCCAGCAGTTTAAAATCCAGAAAAATATTAGCGACGGAGGTGAAAAGCAATACCTCCACCCGTCAATTTGTTTGACAGGTGGTGATGGCGGACAGCGTCCGTAGTAGTGGCGGCGCGAGCTGGAGCTTGGGTGAGCTGTGCGATGGAGAAGGAGAAGACCGCAGGGTCAGCGCGCGGCTGCTTGGTGACGGACGAGGTGGTGATACGCACTGGCAGCTAAGCGCGATGGGAGAGGGCGGTGCTGTCCTTGGCTGCGAGCGTCGTCTAGACGGAAAAGCTGCTGGCAAGGCTTGGAGAAGAGCTGGTAGTGGAGTGGTCGTGTGGCCGTGAGCAAGGGGGAGACGGGCGAGGGAGCTGCACTGCTGGATGGCTCACCGCGCGCGAGGTTGGATGGCGGAGTTGGCGGCTTGGCGGCAACAGGAAGAAGATGAGCTGGTGATGACGTGCAAAGAGGGAGATCGAGGAAGAGGGACGAAGGTGGCTGGCGGTGAGGTTGGTTGGAGAGAGAGAGCGGGGTGGAGGTGAGCTACCTGCGCGGAGAGAGAGATTCGGAGGGAGAGAAGCGGCGCGTGGCAGTGGCGTCGAGTAGCAGGCGCGTGTGAGTTTCGGGTGACACAGAGGAGAACAGGGAGAAGAAAGAAAGAAGAAAAGAAAAAAGAAAGAAAAGGAAAGAAAAGGAAGAAAAAGAAAGAAAAAAGAAAAATAGTTTTTGTTGTTGTTGTTTTTTTTCTTTAAGACTTGCTTTTTTTTTCAACTGAAAGACTTTGTTTTTTTTTCTCTTTACTTTGTTTCTTTTTCCTTTTCTCTTTTTTTTTTTTATTTTTTATCTTATTATTTTGGACAAAATTTATTTTCAAAATTCAAAAGTAGAGATTAACAGAAAATCAATAATCATTCTTGAGTTTTTTTTTTTGAATACTTACCTTTCCCACGAACGTGACGCGGCGCGTCAAGAAGGCACAGAATGAGGAGCTCTCCAGGTGACTTGACACGGGCACGTCATATCAGAGAGACACCTGCAAATCATCAAAAACGAAAATTGAAATAAAAAATCGGTCAAATTCAAGGAAAACATATTTAAACTATCAAACAAAACTGAACAAACAATTAAAAGAAATTGGGTTGCCTCCTAATGAGCGCCTTTTTTTAATGTCTTTGATTAGACATTGAACACCACTCTTCAATTTGGGTGTAAGTCAATTTTCCTTGTAATCCGTGGCACTCCTCCGGGATCCACATAGCCATTGAGTGCAACGTTCTTCCTTAATTTCCTGTTCCTTTTCACCTCATACATTGCTTTCATCCCTTTATACTTGTTCTCAGTAAATTTGAATTTGCCCCTACAAGCAAACTCAGAAAATTCTTGTACAGAGGGATTAATAGTATGAATAACAAACACAGAGTGACAGTTAACAAGATATTCCATTGTATCAAAAATATTAAAATGGACTAGTTCTCCATCAAATTCCGTGGACAATGTACCCTTATTAACGTCAATTTTTGTCTGTACTGTGTTCAAAAAGGGTCTACCTAAAAGCAAAGGTGAAGGGTCGGGAGAATGGTCATCATCCATGTCAAGTACATAAAAGTCAGTCGGGAATACCAATTCATTAACTTTAACCAACACATCATCGACCAACCCATCAGGGTATGCATTTGTTCGGTCTGCCAATTGGATTATTATCTCAGTTTCTTTTAATGGACTGAGGTTCAGAGAAGCATACATAGATTTAGGCATTACGTTGATTGATGCTCCTAAGTCCAGCAGAGTATTCCTAATCAAAGTATTACCTATCCTACATGGGACAGTAAACCTACCTGGATCCCCGCACTTCGGTGGAAGGTTCCTTTGGAGAACTGCTGACACGTTCTCCCCCACAATGACCCTTGCATCCCCTCTCAGCCGCCTTCGGTTGACACATAGGTCCCTCAAAAATTTTACATAATTCGGCACTTGCTTGATGGCGTCTAACAGGGAATATTGATCTCTACCTTGCGGAATACCTCCAGGATCTCCTTCTCCTTATACTGCTTCTTCGGTTTCTCCAACCTGCTAGGAAAGGGAGGCGGTTAGTTTTAACTGTAATGACTGGATCAGAGAGTATCTTTTGATTTGTGCCATTGCTGTCCTCCTTCTCAAGCTCATTATCGATCCTTTCCTTATCTTTGTCCTTGGAAATCGTGAGTTCGGACCCCTGAATTTCCTTCCCACTCCTTAAAGTCATTGCACTTACATTCTTCAGGTTCAATTCAGGTTGAGAAGGTAATTTTCCAAAAACTTGGGATTCCAGGCGGTTGATTGCCAATGCCATCTGACTTAGCTGATTTTGCATTACTGGTATCTGGCCTAGTTGATTTCTCATACATTGTGTGACGCCCCACTTCTCTCTAAGGCGAACCAAAAGGTATCCGCGGGACGCCTGCCTAACTCTCGCCAGGACTCAAGCAATTCCATTTAAACTTATTGCCGGACCACACCATACGAGTCAATAACTTAGATACAATAAATGCGGAAGCGTTCAAGTTTAATAAAAGTCATCCGATATCCAACCCGCACATCGGGTGTTCAACAACCATCATACTCCAAAAGTTACATTCGGATTCCAAAATACAACCCAAAAGTCAAGACAAAGTCAAAAGTAATAGAAACCCTAAACAAAAGCGTAGCAGGAAGGTTTCTTCGATACCTCGCCAAGTTCAATCCTGTTAAGGAAAACAAATCTACAGGGTGAGCAAAAACGCTCGTGAGGCCAAGAACACACATACAAGCACATTGCTCAAATAACAATCTCAATTTATAAGTCAAGCAATCATATTTTAGTAATTAACAATTTACTGGAAATATAACCAGAAATAATTCAAGGATATTGGAGCCCTCAGAAGCTATATTCCACTTGCACATTCAATAACCTCCACGAATTGACACTCCGTCAATCGGGTAGGTTTAGTCCGTAGAACTCCACTTAACCTGTCCCCTTTCACCTTATATACCCCTGTATCGGGCCCGCCTGTCATTTGTTTGTGGCGATACTACTCGAGTATGCCAAGCAAGACCTCTCACTAGGTCAAGCATATAATCTCATGGCTCGCCAAGGTTCCCGACCAAGCCCATGCCGGCTCGAGTCCAAGGTCGGTCAATGAGATTTGGGCGTCCCCATGTGCACTTGTGTGTCGAGGAGATTCACTCCAACGACGTAGGCAACTATAGCATACCATTACATTTCATTCATTCATTCAATACATTTCAATCATTCATTCAATGCATTTCAATCATTCATTCAATACATTTCAACCATTAATATTTCATTTCTAATGAGAACGAGTGTGGTAAAGTACACACTCGACTCCACTTTCAAGATTTCCAATCATTAATAACAATTAAACATGTAACAAGTTTACATACACCTGACACTCACCAAGTATTAGGTGTAAGTAAGGTCAAGAAAAGTTCAAGCGTCCACCGTGGGATCCTCTTGAAGGTCCTCGTGTGCGCCTGAGCAAATAATAGTGAATTATCATCCAAATCCCAAATATCGAGGAATAATTCGTTCACTAGTATTAATCTAGGGGATTCCGTGAAAATGAACCCCAATTACTCGTAAATCGAGGTTCGAGAGGGGTTTGATAACATTCAAAAGTATTTAAGTCTTTATCTAGGAAATCGGGATAAAACGTTTAGATAATATCAAAAGAATAAAGGGTTCTTGAAAAACTCTATTTCCTTGAAAGTTGGAAAATTTCAGTTTTGTTATGAATTTTGAAAAATCGTAACTCACTCGGCATAAGTCGAGAATTGGAAAACTTTATACCGTTGGAAACCTCTTAGAAAGTACTACAAGTTCCTAGAAGACACTTTTCCATGAATCGAAGTGGAAAGTGCTCAAAAATGAGCTTAAAGTTACTGTTCCAAATCACCCAGGATTGAGCCGGGGTTGGTTTTTCGCTAACTTTGAAAATTCGGCAGAATTCACTCGTTGCAAACCAGCCCTTGAAATTTATAGATCAATTAGAGGTGCAAGTAAGGTTTAGGACAGAACAAGCGGATCGAGAATCGGAGTTTCGAACACCAAGATATGATAGCTCAAAGTTGGGTAAATTTCAAGACTGTTAACAAATTTCCAGATTTGGTTCCGACTTTGGACCTTTAGTTAAGTGTCTAAACGGACTTGGATTGATACCAAATTTTGTATTATAATACTCCTATATGAAGGGTATCTCTCTATCAACTTTCGTGGAAAAATACCTTCGGGAAGGTGGTTAACCAATCAACCAAAGTTTGAAATTACTAAGGCCAAACTGCCTTTAGCTCTCTTTCTCTCCGTTTCCAAACATTCGGCTAAGGAAAACCTCCTAGCATGGTTCATTTGTGCAAGAAAAGTCTAAGGAGTATACATGACATTTGGTAGGTGTTTAGCACCAAGAAATTCATTTGGTAAGGCTACAACAAGTCTCACATCTAATCTGTCCAAATCCAAGGTTTTCAAGAACAAGGCAGTCACCGTATTTTGATCATAACTCACTCAATTTAATTTGGATTTGGGCATGGCTGATACTGTTAGAAAATACATTCATAGGGCTAAAATTTCACAGAAGAAATCGTTTTAAGTTTCAGCATGCAACTGGCTCGAAATTAAGCCTAGAGTTGCAGCATCATCAAATCATTTCGGCAGAACGGAGAAACAGGGCAGCTGAATTCAGAAGAGTGGTGCAGTTCACACACATGGAACCAGAACGTGCATTATATACCGTTGGAAAGATGGGTATGTCTAGTTTCAAATGCCACTAACGACACTTGATTTCGCATCGAAGTACGGAGTTATGGACGAAATACGAACACTGGTTGGTTACGACGGCAACCGTTTCCAGATTACCAGCTTTGGGAAATAAATTCTTTTGATCAACCAAAACTCAACATTTTTCACTGAAAATTTGTACACAACTTCTACAACATGTAAACAACACAATCAAGCCATTAAATCCTCAAATTTCTGCATTAAAGTGGCCGAACAAAGTAGGGGCAAAATGGTCAGATTTGACCTTTGCACCCAACGTGAGTTTCCAGCAAATTTTCCTTCAACAAACCACTAACTTAAACACTAATCCGACATTATAAACATCATCAAGCACAAAATCAGCAACAACCCAAGAGTGGGAATTCATAGAGCCACTTTTCCAATTTCTCCAACATCAACCACAACCCATATGCAAATTCAAGCTTATAAGTGTAATTTAACTTCCATAGGATAAGTTTAAGGTATTATATCATTACCTACTTTGATGGTTGGTCAAGACAGAAGTTTCGGCCCTTTTGAAGCTTGAAGAGAACCGTGGATAGCTCCTTCCTTTTGCAGCTAAATGGACTTCCCAAGTGTTGAGGTAGATGTAGTTGAATTTTTTTGAGAGTTTGGTAGATTGAGTAAGATTTGTAGAGGGAATGTTGAAAGTTTTTGGTTGTTTCTTTGCAGCTGCTAGCCGTCCAAGGAGCTTGAAGAAAGGAAATGGTTTGCTGATCCTTTGGCGTATAAGGAACGCTACTCGTGTAATAATTTAAGTACGTAAAAATCAATTGCAACTAGTGCGCCTACGCGCGCGTTTTGTGTTCGATTTCTCTTAAGTTTGTTGCACTAGTGCACTAAACCTCTAGGGCACTTACATTCATATAAATATTATTCATTCTTAATTGTCCCAAAATAATTGTCCAAAGTCCCTCAATTAATGGCGCACGTGAAAACACGTATTTCCAATTTAGGCCAATAAACCTTCGAGAAATTTTTAGAACAATCGTACTACCAACTATCACATGAGTTTTTAAACCTAAAATTGCCTATTTTAGAACCATTGTATATATCTCAAAATTTTGAGCTTATTGCACTCCCAATTGGCTAAAGTGTTTAGACACGTTCTCACTTTTTTTTTTTTTCTAATCAAGCTTTTAAGAAAATAATTTTTTTTGAAATGAGACACTTTAAAAATATAACGAAACTATAAAACCATGTACTTAGCTCTAATAAGGCTAGAAAATATTATTCGTGGCAAAAATCCAAATAAATAATTAATTTAGCCAAAATTAGGGATTTTAAGAATAATAGAATTTTCGAATCCTCACATCCTCTCCCCCTTAAGAAATTTCGTCCTCGAAATTTACCTTGATTGACGAACAGGTCTGGATACTTTTCTCGAATTGCTTCTTCGACCTCCCAAGTTGCCTCCTCCAACCCATGGTTCTTCCAGAGAACCTTTACTAATGGTATCTGTTTATTTCTCAATTTCTTCACCTTCCTATCCAGAAGCTTAACCGGTTTCTCTTCATAAGTTAAGGTCTCATCCATCTCAATACTCTCTGGTTGTAAGACATGTGATGGGTCCGGATGATACTTCTTAAGTAGATACATGAAACACATTATTGATTCGAGATAAACTTGGCGGTAATTCCAACTTATAGGCTACACTCGCCACACGTTGGATAATCTTATAAGGCCCTACAAATCTTGGCTGTAATTTCTTTCCTTTCCCGGACATCAAGCTTGCTTTCAAAGGTGTAATCTTGAGAAATACCAAATCTCCAACAGTAAACTCCAAATCCTTTCTTCGATTATCGGCATAACTCTTTTGGCGGCTCTGGGCAGCTGAATTCTCTGGCGTACCAACTTTACCTTTTTATTAGCTTCCTCAATCCAAGATACTGTGGTCGGATCTAGGATTTTCCGTTCACCTATTTCGTCCCAACAAATTGGAGACCTACATTTTCGACCATAAAGTGCCTCATACGGGCCATCTGAATAGAAGAGTGGAAACTATTGTTGTAGGCAAATTCCACTAAAGTCAAAACTTACTCCAATTTTCTCCAAAGTCCAGAACACAAGTCCTTAACATGTCCTCAAGTGTTTGAATTGTCCTCTCCGACTGTCCATCAGTCTGGGGATGATAAGTGGTACTAAAGTTCAACTTAGTCCCCAATACCTCTTGCATCTTTTGCCAGAATCTCGAAACAAATCTCGGATCCCTGTCGGACACGATACTCACAGATACCATGCAACCTAATGATCTCATCCAAATACAACCTAGCCAACTTCTCCAACGGGTACTTCATGTTAATCGGCAGAAAATGGGCCGACTTGGTCAATCTATCCACTATTACCCAAATCGCATCATGGCCTCTCTGTGTTCTTGGTAATCCCGATACAAAATCCATAGTGATATTCTCCCATTTCCACTCAGGTATTTCTAGAGGTTGCAAAAGTCCTGATGGTTTCTATGTTCGGCTTTAACCTGTTGACAAATTAAACATATTTGGACAAATTGGGCAATTTCCCTCTTCATGTTCTCCTACCAA